CAAGAGCGAAACTTTGTCTCAAAAAAAAAAAAAATATATATATATATATATAATGTCTAAATTTGATTAGTCAGTCAGGAGACAATTAGAATATACACACTAATTAGATATATGGATGTAAATAAACATTTTATTACAAATTTTAACCACATATCTGATCTTCAAAGCATTATCAAGAAGACGGTAGAATAACAAATACAAAAGAAATTGTTAATTATTGGCATATGTAGAATGAAAGTTAAATCTCATGAAAGATTGGTACTAAATATATGTTTTCACCTGATTTTTTTTTTTTTTTTTTTTTTAGACGTAGTCTCGCTCTGTCACCCAGGCTGGAGTGCAGTGGAGTGATCTTGGCTCACTGCAACCTCCGCCTCCCAGGTTCAAGCAATTCTCCTGCCTCAGCCTCCTGAGTAGTTGGGATTACAGACGTGTGCCACCACACCCAGCTAATTTTTGTATTTTTAGTAGAGACTGGGTTTCACCATGTTGGTCAGGCTGGTCTTGAACTCCTGACCTCATGATCCGCCCGCCTTGGCCTCCCAATGTGCTGGGATTACAGACATGAGCCACCGCGCCCGGCCTTCACCTGATTTTTCACAGACACTCTGTATGGTATAATTTATTATTATCCCATATTATAGAGGAAGAAAGCCAGGCCTAAGGAGGTAATGATATTAGCAAGATGACAGTGACAGGAATCATTTCCAAATCTTTTGACATTAAATAAAATGTAATTATCCTTGCAGAGCACTGCCACTTTAACGTGGACTAGATCTCTCTACTGCTAGTTAATTGAGATTACAAGGACTTTGGAGTGCCCTTGATGCCTTCTATACCCACTTCCAGATAAACAGGCTCACTTTAGATACAGTGTCCTGCACGAATCTCTGGGGTGGTTTGAGGTCAGGGATACAAGCCCTAAGAGCCTCTTGCTACATTAAACGTTATGGCAGTAGTCTTGCAGTTTAACAGATTAAAAAAGCTACATGGAAAACACAAGCATGTTATCACCACACAGTGATTTCCATTGTAGCAGAATTTTATTTGCTGTCCCTGGAAAAAATACAAATAATTAAAAACAGTCTGCACAAAACTGACCTGACCGGTAATTAGATAATAATTTTTCTAGCTGTGTGTTTGGATATTGAGTTTGCAATTTTCTCCTCCAATGCTTCTGGGTATTCATTCACCTTTATTGATTGTTGACAATAGTCATCATTAGCAAAAAGATATTCCAGAGGCCAAAACCTCAGTGCTTCTGGCAAAGGAGAGAATTTATGCATTATAAGAAAGCTCTCACACTTCTAATTTTTAGTAATCTGTTTCTATACAAATATTTCAAATAGGATGGACTCATGGGGCATATTTCATCTTGATTATAAACTCTGTAGTACCTGATACCTGATATCTTTAGGTTCCAAGGCTAACTATCACAATCAGGGGTGATAGCAATACAAAAGGAAAATGGCAGAAAGCTATTGTGGCATTTTTTCCCCCCCAGGACACCTATTAACATATAAAGTCTAATACAATTTGACTGCATTCAATACTTACTAATAAGTACTTTTATCTTCTAAATGATACCATTCATTAATCCTTCCATGCATGGATGGATACATTCACCTATTCAGATGTTTGACAAACGGGTACCCACCACATACCTGACCTCGTTCTGTGCCCAAAGGATACAGTTATGACAAGCACTGTTCGTACCCTTTATATAAGGAGACAGAATGGCAGGACATGGTTTCAATGCAAAATGACAGATGGGATAATCAGAATGGAGGAAGACCCCAGCTTGAGTTCAGGGTGAACTCAGCTCTGTCTGCTGTGTTAGAATTCCCTGTACAATTAGTACTGCTGAACATTTCTTTCCACAAGAAGGAAAAGAGGGAAGATTCAGAGAATTGGACCTGGTTCCAAGAGAAGGGGTGATTCAAATCATATCTGTACCTTGCTTCTCTCATTGTCCTCCAGCCCAGGTCTCTCCGGTTCTTACTGAATACTAACTAATGTGAGGGCTAACACCAGAAGAATGAATAAGAATTGTAATCTCTCTTCCCTCTCCTATGTTGCCTCCGTGAGCCTTATGTTGAGACAACTGGGAGAGTCAAAGGCAGAAGTCAGAGGTCAGACGCAGTGGCTCATGCTTGTAATCCTAGCACTTTGGGAGGTCGTGGCAGGTGGATCACTTGAGGTCAGGAGTTCAAGAGCAGCCTGGCCAACATGGCAAAACCCCGTCTCTACTAAAAATACAAAAATTAGCCAGGCACACACCTGTAGTCCCAGCTCCTTGGGAAGTTAAGGCAGGAGAATTGCTTGAACCTGGGAGGCAAAGGTTGCAGTCAGCAGAGATGGTGCCATTGCACTCTAGCCTGGGCGACAGAGTGAGATTCCGTCTCAAAAGAACCAAAAAACAAAAAGGCAGAAGTCAGACAAAGATCAAAGATCAATTTTACCCTAAGCATATCCTTCATGGGAAATATCTCCTAGAATTTTCATCAAAACACAATATCTTCAAGATACACCCAAATATCATACTCTGAAACAGATCTGAAATAGATGTTACCTGCCCTCTCAGCTGTAGGTAAAGGACACATAAAACAATGGCAATCCTGTTTTTCAATTTGGCCTTCAGGAATTTTAAATAAGAATAGGATAGTACATTTAAAAAATGTTAAATAATATTAGGACACCACCTAAAACCTTCTTGGCTTACCTTGTCCCCATAATTTAGCATGTTATTCAGTGTAGTTTATTAGCTTGGTGAACCTTACGTTAATTTTGAAACCGGGAGGAGAATTAGGAATATATCACTTAAGTATATTCAGAGTCAAAGCAAACACTGTTGTTTTTGTTTTAACAGCTGTTGGGAAATAACAATTTTAAGGAGAATTACAGACATAAATTGGAGAAGAAATACTACTTCTGATATCCTGTGTATTTCTAACTTAAGCACATTTCAAAGCATCTTCAAATATTGATGACATAAAGCTACTATTTTTACTCTCCCAGGACAAAAAGGAAAGATGTTTATCTTACACAGATTTTTGCCTTACTGAACAGTTTTTCTTGACGAAAGTGTCCTTTCATTGGTTTAATAGCTGAACAAATGGTGCTTTCAATCTTGTGTAATTTGGTCTAAGTATCTGTCATTTCCTAGGATTAATGCCAGATGGACCCTGGGAACATTTCTAAGAGTTCACTGCTAAAATAAAGACAGGGTACAAATACACACCTGGTCACAGGTGATAAGAGTGTGTGGGTAAGAGAGGCATCTGTTCAACAGGAGGCTATGCATGTGGCTTTGCAATAAAGGTATGAGATGGAGGCTGACCTCTTAAAGCAAAATGCCACAAAGCAAAAGCCAGAAGACTAGTTTCTCTCTCCTCTTAAGTGACTGCTTGATTCACTTCACTGAGCATTTACTGTCTACTGGGCACTGAGCTAAGAATAGTCCTTACAACGAGGTTCAATGCTCACCCTCATTTTACGGATGAGAAAACAGACTCCAAAAGGTTAAAGACATTCCCAGATTCATGTTAAAAAAGATAGCAGAGGTGGGGTTTTAATCCAAAGCCCTCTGACCTGAAACCTATGCGTATTCCACTATGTTTTGGAAGCTTATGAAATCTTATAATTTTAGGGCTGAAAAGGATGGAATCATCCATAAATCCGTCACCCCTATCTTTCACCAGAATTCCTTCCACAATGTAAGCAGATCATCTAACCTATTCAAATACCTCCACTGCTTATTCCTCTGAACATTTTTTCAGTCATATATTCCCTTTTCAAACGTTACATATTGTATTTGCTCACTTCTTTGCTCCTTCATCCACAGTGCTGCCAGGCTGACCTCGTATACAGACCACAGCAATGATTTTCCCTTCCAACCTCTTGATGGCTCTCCTTTGCCTATAGGATACATTGTAGAACACTTCAAAATTTGATGAAAATCTATCTATCTGGACTCTTTCTGTTCCCACATATTGTGGACAACAGTGATTAACATAAAAAAATACAATTGAATTATGAAAATGCATATTATTATTTTAGATTCAGGGGTACAGGTGTAGATTTGTTATATGGGTGTATTGCATAATGCTAGAGTTTAGGCTTCTACTGAACCTGTCACCAAAATAGTGACCATCGTACCCAATAGGTAGTTTTTCAACCCTAGTGCTCCCCCTCCCTCCTCCCACTTGGAAACACTTGGAGTCCCTAGTGTCTATTGTTTCTCTCTTCATGTCCATGCATACTTAGTGTTTAGCTCCCAAAATTCACAGTATTTGATTTTCTATTTCAGGATGAATTCACTTAGGATAATAGTCTTCATGCATCCATGTTGCTGAAAAGGACATAATTTCAATTTTTTTATGGCTCCATAGTATTCTCTTGTGTATATATGCCACATTTTCTTTATACAACCCACCATTGTGGGTACCTAGGTTGATTCTATTACTTTGCTGTTGTGAATACTGCAGTGATAAGCCATGAGTGTAAGTACCATTTTGATAGAGTGATTTCTTTTCCTTTAGTAGAAACCCCGTAGTGGAATTTCTGGGTTGAATGGTAATTCTATTTTTAATTATTTGAGAAATCTCCATACTGTTTTCCATAGGGGTTACACTAATTTACATTCCTACCAACAGTTTACAAGCATTTCCTTTTCTTCACATATTTCCCAACATCTGTTAATTTTTGTCTTCAAAATAGTTTCTAAATTTTGTGAAGATTGCATCCCTATGTCACTGGTTATCCTTTTTTCTGCCTGGAATTGGCTCTCTAGACCTTGCCATCTGTAGAAAGACTATTCATAAATCATAACCCATTCTAATGATCAACTTATTTGGGAAGTCCTATTAGGTTCTTCAATCAAAACCAGTCTCACTGAAAAATGAGTCTGATATTTATTTGCTTATAGAATTTTGTAACAAAAGAAGCAGCATATCCTGATTTATTTCAACATGTTTTCTTTCCCAAAGGATCGTGAACATCTTGGGGACAGTTTCCATATTATCTTTTGTGCCTCGCTGTGTTGCCATATATCCCTGGAACACAGTAAGTAGTATTAGTATAATACTAAGTATAGCTTAGAAATTATCCGATGCGTGAATTTAACTTGAGCTATGCAGCTGCAAAGTTATATTTTTCTTGAACTTCATTTTCAGTCTATCCCCTTCTGTTTAGGCTCTCATTTCATTATATCTTCACTACATTCGAATTCTTTCTAAATCATTCGTAGGTATACACAATGATTAGCTCATCTGGGTGTGGTTATCACATGATTACACCTCCACATAACTCATGCACACATAGTGGAAAATCAAACTTGTAGATTTATGAAAATTTATGGACAGTGATAGTCACCAGCTAGGCAATGACTACTTATTAGAAACGTTTTCCATGCTAAGTATTTATTTCATTTTTTTAAAAAAATCCTAAAATTCCCATAATGTGCAACTTCGCAACATTTTAAGAGTATTTGAAGATTGTTTATAAGGATTTTATAAAAATCCTTACAAAATACTTTGTCTTTTTATTTAACAAATTTAACAATTGTACATGATTTAAACATTTGGGGGTTTTTTAGTAAAAAGTTTAAATACTTGAAAAGTGTACAACTAGTATTATCCCGAAAAATATTTGGCGATCAATACATTGCGTATGTATGTGACTAAAGTAAAAATTGACAACGGTTAAGATAACAGGATGCAATGAAAGATAAGAACTGTTAGAGAAAAGGAGGCTAGGCCAGGCATAGTGGTTCACACCTGTAATCTGAATACTTTGGGAGGCTGAGGCAGGAAGATCACGTGGGGCTAGGAGTTTGAGACCAGCCTAGGCAAAACAGCAAGACCCCATCTCCACTAAAGATAAAATAAAAAATTAGCCAGATATGGTGGTGCACCCCTGTAGCCCCAGCTACTTGGAAGGGTGAGGTGGGAAGATCACTTGAGCCTGAGAGGTTGAGGCTGCAGTGAGCTCTGACTGCTCCACTGTACTACAGCCTGGGCGACAGAGTGAGACTCTCTCTAAACAAACAAACAAAACAACAAAAACATGAGAGTGGAATGTCATAGTGCTAGCACTAATCAACTAACAAAACTATCAATCTAGGTGTAAACAACCAATGAGCTGCAGTCAATTTGAATATCCTAGCAAGGGAAGTATGTATTCCAAATGCCAAATGTGAACACTGCAATGAAAGCTACCGGGGTGGAAGTTAAACATGTGAAATAAATACTGTGAGTTTTCTCCATCCAAACTGTGGAATACATAAACTATTAAACTGCTATTCAAGTTTGAAACAGGAGCTTCTAGAATATTATGTCAGGTTCAGACATTATATAGAGTATATATTCTAGTTTTTGTCATCTATTTCCTATATTTTTCACCTGTATCTTTTCTTTCTCTCACAAGAAAAATACACTTTTTGTTATTTTTTATTTATTTATTTATTTTGAGATGGAGTCTCACTCTGTCACCCAGGCTGGAGTGCAGTGGTGCAATCTTGGCTCACTGCAACCTCCACCTGCCGGGTTCAAGCCATTCTCCTGCCTCAGCCTCCCAAGTAGGTGGGATGACAGGCGCACGGCACCATGCCCAGCTAATTTTTTTTGTTTTGTTTAAGACCGGGTTTCAACATGCTGGCCAGGCTGGTCTTAAACTCCTGACCTTGTGATCCATCCGCCTTGGCCTCCCAAATTGCTGGGATTACAGGTGTGAGCCACTGTGTCCGGCTGACACTTTTTAAAAAATGAGAATTAAAGTAAAACCTAGACACAAGTGAAAGCAGTCAGTAGGGTATATGTCATGAATGTTAAGACAAACTAACCATCTTTCTTGCTTTAATCCAGCTTTGGCTCTTCCTCTTTTATAGCTTCTGATTCCTCATTGCTAACACTTCATAGTCCCAAAGCTAGATAACAGAAAGTAATATACATGTCTTACTGTATTTCAGTTCATCTACATGGTGTGTGTCTGCATTTCTGCCAAGAAGGCTACATGCATTTATTCAATCATTAAAAAAAAAATCCATGGCACCTACTGTAGATAGTAGACTACTATAGACACTGAGTAGATACAGATAAATACAAATATTCTCCATCCTCAATGAGATCATAGTATTCTTGCAGAGTGCTAACTTCTTTTTTTCTTTTTTTTCTTTTCTTTTCTTTTCTTTTTTATTTGAAACAGAGTCTGGCTCTATCCCCAGACTGGAGTGCATTGGCATGATCTCAGATCACTGTAACCTCCACCTCCCAGGTGCAAGCGATTCTCATGTCTCAGCCACCCAAGTAGCTGGGATTACAGGCACCTGCCACCACGCCCAGCTGATTTTTGTATATTTAGTAGAGATGGAGTTTCGCCATGTTGGCCAGGCTGGTCTCAAACTCCTGACCTCAGGTGATCTGCTTGCCTCGGTCTCCCAAAGTGCTGGGATTACAGGCCTGAGCCACTGCATGCAGCCCAGAGTGCTAACTTCTAACTGAATGTTAAAACTTAAGTAGAGGAAATCTCAGGAAATGAGAGACAAAGGCATTTAAGTTATACTAGAACACATGTTCAGGGAAAGCATTAAATATGAAGATATATATAAGCTAGGTTGTTAGAAAAAAATAAGAGTTTTCTCTTTGAAACAAATTCTTGACAAGCAGAAGAGCATGGCAGTTTTACTGTTATTGAAGTATGCATCACCCTTTATATAAGACTATGCATTACAAATGCTGACTTCTTTATATAATTTCATCTCTCCCACCATATGCTCCCGTTAATAGTTCAAAATTAAGTAAAAATGCAAATTCCTTTAGATTTGAGGTTTGCTCAACTAGTTAAACTGTGATATTTTTACCATCCTCTTTAATCTGGTGGTCAAAACATATAATAGATATTCTTTGTAGTGGATTCTGTAGTGTTGCACCAAGATCCTCTCTTCATGGTCAGGAAAAGCTACACACAGCTGCTGGGAATATCTGCTGTTGATGGCCCACAGTTATGTCTTTTATTATTCCATTCACTCAGCTGCAGGAAACCGCCCTGTACCTTCTCCCAGGGGTGGCCCATAGTCATGTATTGGCTGGCAGGGAACAGAGGGCCATTTCTTTTATTTAAATTTAGAACAAGTAAAAATATTCTTTATGAGCTGAGCTCCATTAGACCCATCAAGTGATAAGGTCAGGTGGAATCAACATAAATTGGAAGCAGAACAGCCAGGATCTAATAATAAAAAGAACAAAAAAGCCCAGGTAAGCTGCAAAAGCAGGCAGTTTGAAACTACCTACTACTGCTGTGCTTGTGCCTCACCCTCTGCTTATACCTGTGTTTATATGGGGAGGTGGATGTTTCTTTTCACCAAGTGATGGAAGAGGAAATGGGATGGTGTGGTTCTTACAAGTACTGGCTCAGTATGTGGATCACAGATAAAATTTGACTGTTTTACTACATGCCAATTAATGAGTGGTCGTGAAAGGCAACATAGAAAGCAAAATCAATGGGAAGATCTCTTGGTGGTGTACATTGTCATCCAATATGTATCAAAAGTATAGTGGCCTGGGACAGGAATATACATGGACTTATAGGCGCTAGCAAACAGCCAACCTAATTGGTCAAAATCTAGAAGGAAAAATATTGGAAGATTATGGCCAAAGAGATCTAGCCAACAAGCATGCAGATGAACATATGAGAGTGGGCACAGAATATGATATCTTTATATTATGTGTTTACACCCACCAGACAGCATCTATTATACTATGGGAAAAACACTGGACAAGTAAGTAGACAGCACAATCTAGCCAACCAACCTCAGTTGGCCTCTATCATTGACCATTTTAAGGAGATGCACCGTGATGCATGAACACAATAGCCACAGTGGTGCAACAGAGGCTATATGGGGTAATGGCATGAGTTCCCTTTCGTTAAGGCTGATCTAGGTCTTTCACTGCTGAGTTCCCAATATGCTAAAAGTAGAGACCAATGCTGAACCTCCAATATGGCCCCACTGACCAAGTAAACCAATTAGCTACTTGGTGGCAAGTTGACTACATTGGACTTTCAGTTTGAAAGAGCCAGTTATTCAGTTTACAAGGAATAGACACATATTATAAATAGAGATTTATTTATCCTGCCCTACGGGCATTGGCCAGAACCAGTATAGTGAATTCTACATGAGGTACCATGTATTACTCACTTTACAGAAGAGGAACTACAATAATGGTACACAATGATGGATTACTGTTCTTACTGCATACCACATATTTCAAAATCATTGGTATGATACTGTGGTGTAATGACCTCATAAAGATGCATCTCAGATTCATCAAGCAGCTTTTTAAATTAGAAAAGGAGACATTTTCTGGTAAAGAAGGAACACTAACCTCCAGTTACAGCATACATCCTAAATCAAAAGCCATATTGTGTACTCAGCAGATGGTATCCATGAATTTGGAAACCACCAGGATAATGCTACACAATGAGAAAATGGAGGAATGTTTTTTCTCTCAAGTAATTCAATGGGGTATGTAAGTGCTTCCATGCCCAGTTTTAATGGTCAATGGAAAGGTAGCACAGCCATAGCCAAAAAGAAAGGAAGATGACTAGGGTCCAGACATATCAAGCACAAAATTATGGGGAAGTCCATAAGGCAAACTGCCAAGACCAATAGACATAGAAGCTGAAAACAAAAAAAAATGTAGAATTGTTGTTATACACAAAAGAGGATTGTTAGGATAACTATAAATCCTTAGAAGAAAAGAAGAAATTATATTTTAATGAGTCAACATTAATGTGTATTTTTCCCAGTCTACATAAGGCATCAAGAAATGTGTATTTTTAAATTTTGTTTATTTCTAATTTTTATTTTCATATAATTAGTTAATTTTAATTTTTACTTTTTGAGATAGGCTCTGTCATCCAGGCTGGAGTGCAGTGGCACGATCTTCGCGCACTGCAACCTCTGCCTCCCAGGCTCAAGCCATCCTTCCACCTCAGCCTCCCAAGTAGCTGGGAGTACAGGCACATGCCACCACGCCCAGCTCATTTTTGTTTTTTTTTTTTTTTTT